ATCGCAGGCGGTATCGTGAGAGCTACATCTATAGTGAGAGATATGCAGAAACAGGAGGTCTTTCTGACACATTGGGAGGTCTCCGTGGGTATTTAGCGAAAACTTCGGCAGATCAACGTGTCTCCGTCATCTCGAATACATCTTCCAATACTACTAGTGGCATTGTTTCTGATCGTGTCTTGTCGCTTGATGGGAGTGAAGGTAAATTTGATAGAATAAATTTATTTTTTTGCTTGTGCAACATTTTCTAAATTATTCTATATAAGTAATTCATTCGACTTCAACCTGACAACTACTGTACTGTGTGTGTGCCCTTAAAGGGAACAAACAGGAAGCACCATCTGACTCACATGCCTGTATTATGGGAGATTTCAACCAGTAGATCATACAGTGGATGACTGTCATTGTAAGCAAACGTAGGATTCCTTGGTCTTGTACAAGATTACTTTTTTCATTTAGTATCTGACAGGTCTTCGAGAGGAAATAGCATTTCAGACCAGATCCTGACGAGAAGTTTGTTGGTCCAACAAAATTTAAATCTAAAACAAATAAGCACTAACCATCGTTTTGGCAGCACTATACTTTGGTACATTCCCTTTTTTTCCCTCCGTTGGTAAACCTTTTTCCCTCCACAGTGGCAACTTCCATTAATAGTATGCAATACTGATATGCTGATGAATAAAAGCATGTGTAACACTTATGTAACTATATTGCGGACACGTTTCACATGTACAGCAGGCTTCTTCAGTCGACCCCTCAAGGGAGGTTCCTTGACGCTGGTGAGGGGCTCTTGATCTAGGGAATTGGATTGTGCTCCGGTTCCCTGAATTGAGCCTGAATACCTTCCGTTCCCCCCCCCTCTCATATGCGCTGTATAATCCTACGGGCTTAGCGCTCCCCCATGATATAATAATTCTTCAGTCGAATACTGGAGACAGTGGAGGAAGTGGAGAGGTAAAAAAAAAAAAAAGGTACTGGTGGGGATCGAACTCATGGCAAGTGAGTCGTAAAGCTCCAGGCCAGTGCTTAAGCCACTAGGCCAGCTGGCTACAATAGTGTTTATCCAACTAGGTATATTTATACATCATAGATAAGTTAGCATGAGATCCACTGTGACCACAAATGCAAGTTTTTTACAGATGAATCTCCCGCCAGCGTGGCCGTGGCGAACGCTAGCTCAAGTCTCCTCAAAGCCAGCTGTCCCAGTGGCTTATGCACTGGCCTGGAGTTTTATGATTCACTTGCCATGAGTTTGAGCCCCACCCGTACCGTGGTTTGTTTGCAGTCGTGTTTTTACGATTTCGTGAGTCAAGTGGAGAGGTAAATTTGAGGTGTTAGTTCCTCAGCAAAATTAACTAATAAAACAAGATTGATCAAAGTGCATCTTTTAGTATTGCTTCTATTGTTAATTAGTCAGATATTAAGCTTTTTGGTTTATCAGTTGATATGTCACGGCCACGCTAGCTGGAGATTCGTCTGTAAAAACTTGCATTTGTGGTCACAGAGGTGCCTGTGCTAACCTTCCTATGGTGTAGAAATATACCTAGTTGGATGAATCTTATTGTGGCTAGCTGGTCTAGTGGCTAACGCGACGGGCTGGAGTTTTGAGACTCTATGACCGCGGGTTCAATCCCGGCCGGGGGTATGGTTTTTTTATGCCGTGACTCTTATGAAAATAATGTCCTGTAAATGTTTTGTATTATCTGGGCATTGCATAGCTTTGCATTACCAGAATTGGAAAGTTGACTGAGATCGTTGCCTATTTTTAACACTAGATGATCTCGACTCTGAGATTATGATCAACACACCACCTGCTGCAAGTATTGAGAGTGGAATAGAATCCCTTACCAGGTCTCTCTCTCGGCTCGACTCCTCCTCAAGCAGTACACATGCTCACACTCCAGATTATGGTATGTAGATTCGATTATTCCCACATACTTTTGATATTACTAAGTGTATATTTGCATGGTGTCTTTCATGTACACATTATCACTTTTCTCGCGTTTTTTTTGGGGGGAAAAAAAATACAAAACAAAAAGAAAGGTAAAATAACACTATTGACATTTTGAAAGATTATTCCCTCCAGATTCAAATGCTAAAGAGATTAAAAATAATAAAAATTTATTCTTAAATAATTAATAATAAAAAAATAATAATAATAAAAATAATAAAATCTGAATTAATAAATATTTCGGGGACGAGAGATGGGTTTTGAAAGGGTGGGGAGTATGGGGGGATATGAGTCGTCCCAGGAATGGGGGAAAGGGAAGGTAAAAACCCGTAAAATTTTTGGTTTTCGGGCCTTGAATCCAGTGGGCTTGTGTAAGCACGTTAGATAGGAGTAATGGAGACAAGTGGTTTTTAAGGGGTGTTCGTTGGGGTGTGAGCAGGGGAACAAATGAAGGGATTAAGGGGAGCTTTAGGGGGGCGAGCCCCAAAGGGTTTTAAAGGAAAATTTCAGCACTTGAAGGAGGGAGGGGGAGTTGCGTTAAAGTGTCTATGGAATTTACCAAAAGGGACATAACACGTTTTGTTTTATGTGAAAAGTAGTTTGTAGATGACCCCAAAAACCTTTTTTTATTTAAAACTGCCTATGTCGACGCCGTGTGTGGTTTAAGGGTTACGTTTTTTTATAACTGTTGTTGTTGTTGTCCATTTTAAAAGCTTATTTTGTTTGTAGGCATATGGAAATTTAGCATTTTTCCCGAGTAAACTTTGTAATCCACGAAAAGGTATGCTGTAGCCTTGTGACTTTGGGTCCATTAGGCCCTTGTGAGTTTCGGATGGTCTTTGGGGAACCGTGTATGATTTTGGGTTTGCATAGTAAGAGGTCACGGGTTGGCTGGGGTACTGTTGGGTAATGCATACTTCGTAGTTTTTTTGAAGTCGCCTATAATCAAATTAACACCAAAAAACAAAAATGTTGTATGCTCATTTTGGAACCCCCCCAGACATATTTCATCTTGGAAAAAGGGGAAGCCCGCATGCCCCGTAGTCCCTTTGCACCACTCAACAATTTTACTTTTGGGGGGGGGAAAGGGGTAGGTGTATTAATATTAGAGGAAATTATGAAAATGATAAAAAATTATACTGATAAAGGATAAAGGAAAGGGCAACTCTGTTGGGTACAGTGTTAGTTGATGTAAAAGTTATTTTAAAAGTGTGTTATTAAGAATTTGGGTAACTTTCAAATTTTAAATGCAGCCAAGTGGTTTCTAGACATGAAAATGTAGTTGTTTTTTTTTTTTAATTCAGTAAAATTGCTAGGGGGCCTTGCCTCTTAAGGTAGCCCTGGGTGCTTGTACAGCATTTTTTGTAACTAAACAAAAATAGGGAATAAATGCTTAATTTAGTTCGGAAGACAAAAAACCTTTTTCTAAATTTTGAATCACTAAGGAACTTAGATGATTGCAATTTCTTTATTTTATTGCCCCCGGATTACAATAAAAACCTTTTTTCCTTTTTTCGGAGACTACAGTGGTTAAGAGACCCCCAAAGGTGGTGTTTACTGAGTAAACTGTCAGGATTATTACTGACAAACAGTAATAAAAAAAATTTTCCATAAATATGTCTATTTTCTATAGTTACCACCCCAAACAACATATATTAAAGTTTTAAAATTACATAAGGAAAAATTACTAAATAGTAAACAAGAAGGTAAAATCTCTTTTGGTACATCAAATAATATATGAAATCGGCGAAGGGGGATAAAAGCCCCCGAGAATGTGAAAATTTAAAAGTGTAATGGAATCTACAGTATGCCAATCCTAAAGGGGAATTTGCTTTAAACTGCCTTGAAACCAAAAGTAAGCTTTTTTCTTGAAATATAAATTGCTATGAGAATAGTAAGTTATTTATGATCCACATTCTTAAATCTTTCTTGGGTGTATCCATCATTGGTGAGGGGGGGGGGGGGTGGACTGATTCAAGGACTGGGTTTATCTTCCCTTTCCTGAATTAGATATCTTTTTTGCCTCCCGTTCCTCAGAACCGTATGTCTTATGGGTTTAGTGTTTTCCCCCAAATAATAATAATCATAAATAATAATTTACTAAATTTCCGTTTTTCTTTTGCTTCAGCATGTGGATTTTGATGAGATGGGTTGGCCCTACAGTTTTGGGGAGACCAAAAATAATCACTCCCCTTTCATTGCATATTTCTGTTTTGAATATTATCAATTTTTTAGCGTAAAAATTTTTAAATAGAAAAAATTTTTTAATCAATGCGGGATTTTCTTTAATTTTGAATAAAAAGGGAATTATGTAAAATTCTCCAACATTAAGTGGCCTCTGTATGGGAAATTAAATTGTGCCAATCGGAAGAATTTTTTTTTTGTAAAGCAAAAAGAGAAAAGAACCAGCTAACGTAAAACAGATAAACAACCTAATTTTGAGTTAAATAGTAGGTTAAGTTAGGTTTGTTGGGTTATTTTTTGGGGGGTTTACCAAAAAATTGCTTCTTCCTCGTAGGCCCAACATATAATGTTTCTCTTGCACAAACCATTTGTTTTTGTAATATTGCAGAATTTACATACTAAAAAAATGAGTAACTAAATATTAAACAAAACCCCCCAAGAAACACTTTTAACAATTTTCAAAAAACTTGGTATTGTAAAACCCACTTATTATACACTGTAAACCATAAATTATAACCTAACTTCGTCTATCAGCTGAAGTAAATATTAACCGCTTATTCATATAATATTAATCATCTTAACAGGTGAAGATATTTCATTCAAGGGTTCTTCCTTAAGTTTGCTGATATATTTTCAGTATTTGTATTTTTTAACCCATGGGTTTTAGCACTTTTATGAATGTAATCATTTATTAAACAGTAGTGGGAACGACCGACTTGTTGAAAATAAAATATATATATAATATATTATATATATATATATATTATATATATATATATATATATATATATATAATTATATATATATATTATCTGGTCCTTATTTAGGCATAACTTATCATGCTATATACAGTACTATAATTATTTTGTTTCAGATATTTTATTTGAAATTTATGTGACCCATAATTTTTTCTCATCGCTGTCCAGATGAAGGGAGTTTAAATCGCTCCTCCTTCACACCACCAGTTTCAACTCCACCAAGCGGAGGACGGTTAACCGGGTCTGCAGGAATGTGTGGGAGTGAAGCAGGTGGAGTGTCTTTAGGTCGAGCAGGTAGTGTCCATTCCTCCTCCTCACAGCACTCTGCCTCTACAGTTCGATCCAGATATTCTCTTGTCCCACATAGACTGCCTCCAGAGTTGACTCTTGGGGCTGAGCTTGCTGATCTTTCACTGACACCTGATCTTCCCCATCTTGCTGACTTGCCAGGTATGGCAGCTGATAGATCAGGCCGGAGTGGGGATGAAGAAAGTGATCTGTGCACAGGCCTATCACACACACAACACAATTGCTGTTCCACGTGCTGTGATGAGGACACTGCATCCATAGCTTCAATTGATGATCCTGAAGATGGTGAAAATATTGAAAAGCACTGTAAATGTGGATCATGTGCCATGTGCATCTTGCAGCAGGCATCTGCAGGCTTCTTACATCAAAAACTAGATAGTGAAAATTCAAGTGTAGCAGCACAGCGAGGAGACACAGGTCCACATACTTACCATGATTCATTGGACTCAGCCAGTGCATCAGCTCATTACTTTGGAAGTCCGACATTTTTAAGTGATGATGCCTCAGTCATGGTACAACCAGACCTTGATGAGTCGGCTATTTCCACTTATAATTTTTCAGAGGAGGATTTCAGCCAACTAGACAATAATGATGATTATGTAGAATTTTTCAAGGATGGCTTACGATTTCCCGAGCATAGTAGCAACCAACTTGAGCAAAGAGAAATAGCAGATGAGAAAACTGTGACAACACCACCAAGTGCTCATCGTGTGAGCCCGCAAGGGTTGGGTGCTCAGGGGCTAGGAACTCAGAGAGGTGGTGCACAGGCAGTTGCTTCAATTTCAGGAGGAGCTTCACCAACTGGATCAGATCAACAGGATGAGGCACATTTAGACTATTCTGTCGAGAGTGCCCAGGCATCTTTATTAGCATCTTATTCACCTGCTTTAGCAATATCCTTGGGAGGATACCAACCACGTGTTTCAGTATCATCTACATATGATACTGACAGTGACTATGTGCAGGTGTCTGGGATGGATGATCGTTTCTTGTTAATGCCGCCTGGTCCTGTCTCCATGTCTACTGTCAAAACTATTACTCCAGTATCAATAGCTTCATCACGTACTAATACTTCCTTACCTAATGAATCTCTTCCCAAGAACAATGAGCCAAGTAGTAGCAGAGCTTCACTTTTGTCACCAGATGCTGTCATTAGTGAAACAACAGTAGCCAGTTCAAGTGAAGCACCTGCTAAGTTCATAACATCAAAGCCCAGGATCACTGTGCTTAAAGCTCACACTCAGTTGGCAGCTACAGCTGCACCATCGTTCACATCAGTGCCACTGAGAAGAGGAGTAGTACATACTTTACCACAAGTTCAGCCTAGACTGAAAATAGATACCGTTCAGTCTTTGCAACGGGGTACAGCTCAGTTACCAGAAATGCGACCATTAGGTCTTCCACCTCCATACTCTCGTGATCATGGATCAAACAAAATTAAAGCAGCTGGTGTTCAAAATACTGAAGTACCTGTAATCAGAAAGAACAATTACCTGGATGTACGTGCTTCGTCATCCATAAACAAAAATAAGTCTCGTGCACATCCAGAGCAGCACCCCACAGTTACCCCAAGAAGCCTCTATTTAAGACATCAACAGAAAGCCTTGCAACAACAACAGCTCAAGCATCAGCAACAATTACAACAATTACAACAACGCCTGAGTAGTGAAACTGTGTATCAACCAGCTGCTTATGCTCAAGTTGTCGGTGTACCTCTGTTGCCATCACCCACATACACAGGCTATCAACATCAACACACTCACTCTGGAAACATCCAACAGTCAGTTTACCAACATCAGCAGCTTCAGCAACAACAACCTCAACATAATTACCTTTATCAGCCATATATAAAGAACTTCTTTCAGAACCCCCCTCCACCATCACCACATCATGGTTATGGTGTTGGTGCTGGGCCAGGTGGTAGTGGGTTCCAGGTTGCTGTTGAGGCACCATCACCCACCTATCAATGTGCCAGTGATCCCGGTACTTATCCTCCACACCAACAACAACAGTCACTCGCCACAGTATATACTAACCAAGTCAGCTTAAGCCAAATCGAACAGTTCAAGGCTCAGCTTTACTCAGATGTGGATTACGTCATATATCCTATGAAGGATCCTGCTCTGAGTCGACAGGAGTACATGGATGCTAAAAAAGGACAAGTGATTGCTACCCAGGCTCAACAACAGGCTAGCAGTAGCAGTAGCAGTAGTAGCTTTGCTTACTTACCTCCGCCTCCTCCATATCGCAGCCCAAAAATGTCGCCTCTCTACAGATCAACACCAAATGTTGCAGCAACATTAAGCAGCTGTAGCGGGAGTGGTAGTGGTGCAGTGACGGGTGGAGGAAATTCATCTGTTTTGTCATCTTATCCATCTTACCAGAGTCTTACATCACACCAGCCTGGATCATCTTCAGGATATTCCTCTATGGCACGAGGACGCTATTTCTCACAGCAGTCCCTGGCATCCTCATCCCTATCTTCAGCACCTTCTGGTTATTCTGCATCAACACAGTCTCTTACTGGAAGCTATGAACCTTACTCTGAAGTGATGCAGCGGGCATCTTCCATGCTTCGTGTCCGCTCTGATGAATCCATTCTTTCTTCAGCATTAGCAGACTCGGCAGATTCTCATGTAGTACCAACTGGCCATCCATTGCCACCACCCCCACCTTACCGGCCCAAGGTGAGGACAACTCACAAGTACGTGGCTTCTCATTGCTGTGCATGACTTTCTTGGCCCAAGGTGTTAGCAGTGTTAAATAATTATATTTATTAATGCTAAATAACCCAAAAGATATAGCGATTTATATAAATATAATGATTTTTAATAATTTATCAATGCTACATTTCACTCTCAAAGTATGCAAAGACTTACCATGCATATAAAGGAAAATATAGTTACACCTGTGCTGGGATCTTGGGCTACCATTTATAACTTAACAGTGATAACTGTTGCTTCTCCCTCTGTTCTGCTCTGATTATTTTTTTTTGTAATTTTCATACATTTCACATGAGAAATGGGGATACAGAAGCCATTGCTCAATACACAATGAAACTGTCAAGTATGCTTACTAGTTACTCAGACTTTCCTCCAGCTGTATGTGAAGATCATGATCTAATTTGATTTGATTTGGAGTCTTAAGGTGCCATCCCACCATAAGCATTTGCCTCTTGTTTATGTAATTTACTTATTGGTAGCTGTACATGTATGTATGTGAATAGAAGAATGAATGGTGATTCGAACCATGGTCTTGGCATGTTACAAGCCCACCACATATTCCATCACTGGACCTGCTATCTCTCTTTTATCCCACTTTCTATCCTCTTCATCTTCCTTTCATCCTCCCTACTCCTACTCCCCTTCCCCCTGTCCCCCTTAGTCTTCCCCCAAACTCACTTCCCTCTGCTGCTGTCCCCCCTCCAGCTCACTATCCTTTTCCCCTCCCTGCCTCCTCCCTCTTCTCCCCACAACAAACACCCCCCCCCTCCCTCCCCACAACAAACACCCCCCCTCCCCACAACAAACACCCCCCCCCTCCCTCCCCACAACAAACACCCCTCTCCACACAGCACTCTTGGCATAAGCTCTTCCTTCTTATGAAAAGAAACATGGGACACCAAAAACCCAGACGGAGAACCAGTGGAATGGTGGATGAAGCGAGGGGTGGACCTGGGAAAGAAGAGTGGGGGGCAGAGCTCACGCGAAGAGAGGAGGAGGAGGCTGGAAGAACTCGACAAGAAAATGGAAGAGAAAATAGCTGAGGAGAGCAGGAAATGGAAATTACAAATCACAGCAGCTGAAGCCAAGATACAAAGCTTAGTAGAAGAACTGGAAAGTCTGAAACAACCTAAAGAACCAAAGGACAGCATAGCCATGGCACCAAGAACTACATCAGTCACCGATGAGGGGACAGTAGGGAACAAAGGAGATATACTGTATGCGATGACTATTGGACCCAAGGGGGGCCTGGGAAAAGGCAGGGAGAATAGCAGGAACTAATGAGGGGACTAAAGACAATGAAGGAGCTAGACTATACACAGAGACTCTAACGGACAACTGCCATGTCCAGGAACAGATAAACACAGGGGCACCGGATAGGGAAGAGACAGTAGGAAGCCATGCGTCAATGGCAGGAATTAATTTGTATCAGAGGATGCTCAGGGACGCACAGTGGGAGAACGAAAGGGAGAGGTCCGTTTTTGTCTATGGGCTCGAAGAAGTAGATGGGGAAACTTACGAGGCAAGGAAACAGGAGAAAAAAATGATCGAAAGCATCATGAAAGCAATAGGAGAGGACAACATGACCCAGCTGACAAATTTTCGGAGAATTGGGTGGTTTGCGAGAGGAAAAAAGCGTCCAGTCAAAGTGATTTTTCAAGGCAGTCTGCTCGAAACTGGATCCTGCAGAAGTGCGCCTAAGGGACAATCAGGAGTTCCGGAGTGTGTACCTCGACCGAGACAGAACACAAGAAGAAAGGATGCTGAAAGAGCGGGTGCAACGTCGCAAGGAGGAATGGGAGGCAAGGAAGGTAGAGAGCAGGAGAAACCAGGCCCAGGTGGAAGAACAAACACAACCCCCTCCAGTACCACCCACAGAAGGAACACAACCATGGCAATCCCAAAGCAACCAAATAACCTAACCCAAAACCCACTCACTGTACCCCCTGCCCCCATCCCTCTCAGTGCAAACCCCACCCCCACAGAAACCCACAGTAACCCACACATCCCCCTCTGCACAAACCCCACCCCCACAATAACCCACAGTAACTCACACATCTCCTTCAGCTCAAACCCCACTCCCACAGAAACCCACAGTAACCCACACAATGTACCCTCTCCTCCCATCCCCCTCACAAACCCCACCCCCACAGTAACCCACAGCAACCCACACACTACCCTCTATCTCCATCCCCTCACCACAACCCCCACTGCCACTGTAACACCCCATAGGCCCTCTCCCCATCCCCCTCACTAAACCCCCCACCCCACTGAAACCCCCCCATAGGCCCTCTGCCCCACCCCTCACACCACAGACCCCACCCCCACAGCAACCCCATATAGGCCCCTGCCAGGGCTCCTGCTCCCCCTAACCCACCTCTCTCCCCAAACCACAGTTATTGAAAAGTTGAAGGTTTGGTACACAAACGCGGATGGAATAACAAATAAATGTGAGGAGTGGCATGAATCAAGGGGATGTCCCCAGACATTGTAGAGGTTACAGAAACAAAACTCACTGGGATAATAACAGATGCAATCTTCCCACCTGGATATCAGATCCTGAGGAAGGATAGAAGGAGCAGAGGGGGAGGAGGGTTGCACTGCTAATTAAAAACTGGTGGGGTTATCAAGAAATGGAAGGAATGGACGAGATTGGAGAAAGGGATTACATAGGTACAGTTCAGTCAGGGGAACGCAAGGTAGTCATTGCAGTGATGTATAACCCACCACAGAACTGCAGGAGGCCAAGAGAGGAATATGATGAGTGCAACAGAGCAATGGTAGACAAACTAGCTGAGGTGACAAGAAAGGCTCACTCGAGTAGAGCGAAGTTACTGGTCATGTGCGACTTCAATCACTGGGAGATTGATTGGGAAAACCTGGAGCCACATGGGGGTCTTGAAACATGGAGAGCCAAGATGATGGATGTGGTGCTGGCAAATCTCATGCACCAACATGTTAGGGACACTACCAGAGAGGGGAGGATGAACCAGCAAGACTGGACCTTGTGTTCACCCTGAGTAGCTCAGACATTGAGCACATTACATATGAAAGGCCCCTTGGAGCTAGTGACCACATGGTTATGAGCTTTGAATACATCGTGGAGCTAAAAGTGGAGAGGGTAACAGAAGTAGAAAGGGAAAAGGCAAACTATAAAAGGGAGTACTACACAGGAATGAGGACCTTCCTGCAGGAGGTTCAGTAGGAACAGGAGTTGGTAGGAAAATCAGTAAACGACATGATGGACTTCGTGACAACAAAATGCAAGGAGGCAGAGGAAAGGTTTGTTCCCAAGAGTAACAGAAATACTGGGAAGGACAGAACGAGCCCTTGGTTTACCCGAAGGTGTAGGGAGGCAAAAACTAAGTGCTCTAGAGAATGGAAAAAGTACAGAAGGCAAAGGACTCAGGAAAATGAAGAGATTAGTCGATGAGCAAGAAATGAGTATACACAGATAAGGAAGGAGGCGCAGTGGCAGTATGAAAATGACATAGCCTCGAAAGCCATGTCTGACCCAAAACTACTTTACAGCCACATCAGGAGGAAGACAACAGTCAAGGACCAGGTAATCAGGCTGAGGAAAGAAGGTGGGGAGCTCACAAGAAACGACCAAGAAGTATGTGAGGAGCTCAACATGAGATTTCAGGAAGTCTTTACAGTGGAGGCCGAAGGGACACTGGGAAGACAAAACAGTGGGGTACATCAACAAGGGATATACCAACAAGTGTTGGATGAATTGGACACAACAGAGGAGGAGGTGGAGAAGCTCCTAAGTGACCTTGATATCTCAAAGGCGGTGGGACTGAACAGCATCTCTCCGTGGGTCCTTAGAGAGGGAGCAGAGACACTGTGTGTGCCACTAACCAAAATCTTCAACACTTCCCTTGAAACTGGGCAACTACCTGAAGTATGGAAGAAGGCAAATGTAGTCCTCATCTTTAAGAAAGGAGACAGAAATGAAGCACTAAATTATAGACCAGTGTCACTCACGTGTATAGTATGCAAAGTCATGGAGAAGATTATCAGAAGGAGAGTGGTGGAGCACCTGGAGCAGAACAAGTTTATAAACGACAGCCAGCACGGATTCGTGGAAGGCAAATCCTGTGTCACAAACCTACTAGAGTTTTATGACAAGGTAACTGAAGTAAGAAATGAGAGGGAGGGGTGGGTTGATTGCATTTTCTTGGACTGCAAAAAGGCCTTCGACACAGTTCCTCACAAGAGATTAGTACAGAAGCTAGAGGAACAGGCACATATAACAGGAAGGGCTCTGCAATGGATCAGAGAATACCTAACAGGGAGGCAACAGCGAGTCATGGTCCATGATGAGGTATCACAGTGGGCGCTGGTGACGAGCGGGGTCCCACAGGGGTCAGTCCTGGGACCAGTGATATTCTTGGTATATGTGAACGACATGATGGAAGGGATAGACTCAGAAGTGTCCCTGTTTGCAGATGATGTGAAGTTAATGAGGAGAATTAAATCAGATGCAGACCAGACAGGTCTACAAAGAGACCTGGACAGTCTGGTTGCATGGTCCAGCAACTGGCTCCTAGAATTTAACCCCGCCAAATGCAAAGTCATGAAGATCGGAGAAGGGCAAAGGAGACCGCAGACAGAGTATAGGCTAGGAGACCAGACGCTGCAAACCTCCCTCAAGGAGAAAGACCTAGGAGTGAGTATAATACCGAGTACATCGCCAGAAGCACATATTAACCAGATAACTGCTGCGGCATATGGGCGCTTGGCAAACCTGAGAATAGCGTTCCGGTTCCTCAGTAGGAAATCGTTCAAGACTTTATGCACTGTGTACGTCAGGCTCATACTGGAGTATGCAGCACCAGTTTGGAACCCACACCCGGCCAGACACGTCAAGAAATTAGAGAAAGTGCAAAGGTTTGCAACAAGGCTAGTTCCAAAGCTAAGGGGAATGTCCTATGAAGAAAGGTTAAGGGAAATCGGTC